TACACGCTCCTATCGTTTGATATGGGGAATTGTACAAAGATACCTCACAATTTTCCTGATGTATAAATTTACTGATAGCCTCAGGATTTACACATAACCTAAAAGAGAACAATGTTTCACATTTTTCATACTGATCGTCGGTTAGACTGAAATGATATTCGTTAGTATCGCTTATTGCCAAGTACTGAGCTTGTGGTTCAATGATTACTATATTGCCTTTATTTGTAGGTATCGGAAGTGGAATATTATGAAACAGGTTAAACCGAAGGTTTGACAATAAGGGTATACGGGTCACAAATACGAGATTCTGTTGGATGTACACTACGCTTAACTTGGATGTTCGGAATAATTCAGGAATAGATAAATGAGATTCAGTTATAGGTAGCTCTAGTGTAGACGGTAATGTCAGTTGTATTTGCTTAAGTTCGTGAATCAATTGAGATGGGGGGTAGACATTTGTATGCATCAATCCATTTAATGCTGAGTTAACAATGGATTGGAGGTTTTGAGTTTCCCAAGCGAATTGGTTTAGAAAAACTGTCAATATTGCAGTGTGCTCCAGGAAGGTGTTTTGTATTTCCAATACATTGATTGTTGCTTCAGAACGCCTGGATTGTTCTTCTATTTTGTTTATATTCTCCTGCAATTTCTGATCATCTGCTAGTAGTTCATGCATGGTAGAATTAACATTATTCATGACTGAAGAGACTATGCGTATTTGTTCCTGTGATAGATGAACATGATTATCCTCGGAACGAGCTAGGTCTTCGATGTTTTTGTAAAAGAATTCTGCATCCTGATCAGAGCAAATTCCAAAAAGAATGTTTGCTAGCCTTCCTACTGCATTTATCAACCCGCGAGGTTGTCGATTCATATGTTCAGAGGTTCTGTGGTTTGACCCGAGGATTCGTATGACAGAATTGAAATTTGATTCAATTTCTTGCATGAACGGAAACGTGGATTGTATGAAATCCGTACACGCGCTAGTTAAGATCGAGTCCTCTCTTTTTTTCAGTTGAATACAAACGTCGCCCGTCTGATCATGGAATTTCTGGAGTATTTGGTACTTCATGTAATAAGTTGTCAGATTCACATAAGTGACGAAATCCCAATTTGTGTAAGATATGCGAAGAGGTCCCATTGCTTCAAAGTATAAGCCTGATGAGTTTTGGAATGAAGTAACTTGAAAACGTCCGCTCTGAGAGTTTGAAAGTTCACAACATATCAGTGAGGTTCTGAAACACAATTTAGATTTCATTCATGAAATTTCTTCAAGAGATTTTTGTGCAATTTTACATGTTTATTTTTTTTTAATATGGTCACATTCGGAGAGTCTGCATTAGTTTCCACCACTGTGAATGGCCCTAACCACTTAGGTGCTAATTTTCCTTTACTTGTTTTTTCTTGCACTATGACTTTATCACCTTCGTTGATTTGCAAAGGCACAGCTGTACGATCATATCGCTCCTGCGATTTCTGTTTTGATTTCATCTGTTGCTCTGTTACCATCTGATGCGTTTCTTGCATAAGACGTTTCATTTCGTACTGGTAGTCTTGATAGTTATATTGAGGTTCTGGCTTGCGACTTAGTGAATTTGGTATTGATAACGGATATCCGTATACGATTTCATGTGGTTGAAACCCTGTGGAGGTGTGTACTGAAGAATTATGACAGTACATTGCATAAGGAACATGTACATCCCAGTTTTGAGGGTTTTTTCCAGAGTAGTTCCGCAAATATTCACCAAGGGTTCTATGACTTCTCTCTAGACTACCATTACTCTGAGGATGATACGGAGTAGTTGATGTCTGAGAGATATTTAAGAGTTTGCATACTTCTTTGAAAACCTTACTAAGGAATTCAGTTCCACAGTCCGTCACTAGAGATTCAGGTTGCCCATGCAGACATACAAATTGAGTAACAAAATGTTGTGCGACGGTGTTTGCTTCATGATCCTTCATGGCACATGCCCATGTGAACTTTGAAAAGTCGTCGATCAAAGTTAAAATATATGAATTTCCGTGGTAAGATTTATTGAGCGGCCCTACGATGTCCATGAATACTTTTTCGAATGGTTTCGAAGCAGTAGTTGTTATCACCATAGGTTCCTTGATGGTCCGGTTTGGAGTTTTGTTGATTTGACATACAGGACATTTCTTTATGTATTTCCGGATTTGTGCTCTCATGCCCTGCCATTGGTACTGTTGTGCAATTTTGTTGTATGTACGCGTTACACCTTGATGTCCACCGAGTGGATTTTCATGAAATTCCTTGATGATCTGTAGTTTGTTATCTGCCGTTAACTCATCGCGAGTGTATATCTGAATATACACAGGAGAGTCACGGAAGATATACCTTAATATATTGCGTACGACTTCCCACTTCAGTCCATCTAGGTCGCAGCCTAGACGTGGACAAGCGAGCTGTGTAACTTTATATTTGACACAGATTGACTTGAGGTTCTGAAGACATTGAAATAGAATTTCATAGCTTGCTTTTTGCCAGAAAAATTCTTTTGTGATTATATAAAACACCTGATGATTGTTCACATTGATTGTTGCAATCTCTGTTATTTGGCATTTTTGTCGACGAAGTTCAGTAATTTTTCCAAATCGGTTTCGGAATTCGAATGCAATTCCTTTCCTCGATTTAAAATCTGCTGATACACAATGAGCTAATGATATTCCATCATCCAAGGAAAACAGATCTCCTGTTCGCTCGGCAATGTTCTTCGTAGGACCCAGTTTAGTTTCGTCTGCTTTCAGAAATGCTTGATAACCAGTATCACCTTCACTCTTCGATTCTGAGTCTGGGTGTTCGTTATCTACTGATTGTAAAGAGGTTCCTTGAGTTTCTGGAGGTTTTGACTGACTATGATGACTCGATGAGGTTTGAGCTCTCGTAGTTACCACTTGAATACGACTCAATGCGTCGGCATTTGTATTATTCACTCCTGGTTTGAAATGAATAGTGTACTGGTACTCTTCCAGCTTCAAACGCCATCGAGTTAAACGTGATCCGGGATCTGTAATGTTGAATAACCAAACCAGTGCACGATGGTCCGTTATTATGTTGAAATGTTGTCCAAATAGGTACGGCCTAAATACTTTTATTCCCCATACAATACTAGTTAGTTCTTTTTCCGTAGTGCTGTAGTTGGTTTCAGCCTTGTTTAGTGTCCGTGATGCGAAAGCTATTGGTAAATCCTTTCCAATAGGTCCTTGAGACAGTATACAGCCTATGGCGTAATTGCTTGCATCACACGTTAGATTAAATGGCTTATGGAAATCTGGGTATTGTAGAATCGGAGCTTGAGTGAGGAGGTTCTTCAATGTTTCAAACGATGTCTGACATAAATCGCTCCATCTATAGGGAACGTCCTTTTTTAACAATGAGGTCAGTGGCTTTGCGATCTGCCCATAGTTTCTGATGAATCTTCTGTAGTAACCTGATAGTCCTAAAAAAGACTTGACCTCTTTCACATTTCTTGGAATTGGAAATTGTTTCACACAACTTATCTTCTGAGGATCTGGCTTGACTCCTTCGTCAGTGATTTGATGTCCGAGATAATTAACTTCTTTTCGGAGAAATTCGCACTTTAGTGGTTGAAGTTTGAGATTGTATTGCCGGAGTCTCTGAAAAATCTCTGTGATTTTCTGTGAATGATCATTTAGATCTTTTGCATAGATGATGATATCATCTAGATATACGAATGCTTTGATTCCATTTATACCGATTAAAACTTTATTCATGAGCCTCTGGAAAGTCCCTGGAGCTCCCTTCAAACCAAACGGCATTCGTTCAAATTCGAAATGTCCCCGGTCTGTAGAGAACGCCGTTTTGCTACGGTCGGACGGATTCATCGGAATTTGGTGGTAGCCATGGGCTAAATCCAAGGTACTGTAATATTTTGACCTCCCTAATTGATCTAAAATATCCACGATATTTGGAAGTGGGAAAGCATCCCCTATCGTGACCTCATTCAGTCGGCGGAAATCCACGCAGACACGGTATTTAACCTGGCCATTGACGTCAGGTTTCTTCGGGACTACTAGGAGTGGAGCGTTCCAAGGTGATTCACTAGCTGTAATCACACCTTCCCGTTCGAGGGCTTCCATTTGGTCCGTAATTTCTTGTCTATGCCTTTGTGGTAAACGGTAGGGTTTCACGTGAATTGGTGATACCGCTTCTGAGGTTTTGATCCTGTGTGTGACCGCTGTAGTTGCCGACACTCGATCTCCTTCTAAAAAGAATATGTCCGAGTAGTCTTGACAGATGGCCACTAATGATTCCCTTTCTTCAGAATTCAGATGATCGGTTCTAAGTGCTTCTTCCAATCGTTTCAGTCGACTACTGCTTGCATGAGATTCTTCTTGTCGATCCGTGACTTGTACCGAATGGATCAGAGCTTCCCTGAACTGCTCGTGGACCAGTTCCTTTAAATTGGGCGTCTTTAGCTTTATCGCTTCTTCAGTAGGGTTGATGAGTGTGGCTAACACCCTTTTGTTTTGTACTTTGGTTACAACGTTACTACACATGACTGATTTTGTGATTTCTTGACATTCGATGATGATGATTTCGTCTTCTGCTCGATTCTCTGCTTCTATTCCTACGAGGGTTTCAGTGCGGGGTTGTAGCACTATTTCAGCCCCGTCAGGAATGATTACTTCATTAGTCTGATAATTCAGAATGATTTTGTTTTCCACCATAAATGGTCGTCCAAGGATACCATCGTTTGGGATCGGGAATGTAGAATGGATTACTTGGAACATTGCAACGATAATTTTGTCTTCGATATATAGTTCCAGTTGTGTTTGTCCCAGTGTGTGTACTATCTGGTCATTAATGCCCTTCAGGTGATATATGACGTCTTCATACACGATTGTCTGATCCGCGAGAGAAGATATTTTTATTAGATTCAGCTCACTCCCAGAGTCTAAGAGTAGCTTCGATTTTTTGCTGATGGTCTGTTCAATGTGGCAGGTTAAATGATCTCGATCTAATTCTGCTTTGAAGTAGAGGATTTGTCGTTGCCGGTGTTTTTTAACTCGCTCACCGGGCGCCCACCGTTGGCGGCCGGTTGCTGGTGGTTTTCCTGCTGGTTGCCTTCCTTTTTGGAGTTTACGTAATTCCTTTTTCGGCAATCTTTCAGCAGGTGTCCTGGCTTTTTACAATAGTTGCATTCGATGCTTCTAATTGGTGCCGTTGTGGAAGAAGGTCTTGAGTTTGTCGTTGTCGGTTTGCTCCTGCAATCCTTTGCCATATGACCAACTTTATTACAGTGAAAACAAGTAGGTTTCTTTGTGGATTGGTGCGGCGCTCCATATAGCCTCTTTGTCGCTTCTTGTGAGTTTCTGACCCGTTCTTCTTCCCTTGCTGCTTGTATTGCCTTGTCTAACGTTAGCGGATTCCTGGCCTTGATAAAGTCTTTTAGAGGTCCTAGTCCCTCCACGAATACTTGGATGCTTTGCTTCTTGATACTTGCTCCTAGTGCTTGAGCTACCTCCCAACTGTGCCCACTGGTCTCTTGCTCTACGATAAGTGTTTGGAGTTGCTCAATCCTATTTGCATAGTTAGTTACATCTTCTCCGATTTTCTGCCTTGTTGAATACAATTCTGAGAATAGATAAGTGGTCGTCCTCTGCGGTTCCAATGCAGATTTCAACGCTTCCTTTAGTTCAGTCCAATGTCGTATTTCCTTAAACTTGACTGCCTGACGGGCTTTCCCTGTCAGTCTAACTTGGATGCCTTGGAGAAGTCGAGCCTGTACATGGTCATGTGCGCATGCTAACGCAAACTCGCATTTTTCCAAGAATATCTCCAATTCCTCCTGCTTGTCTCCATTGAACGAGCCTGGCAAGAGTTTTAGAGCGGCCTCCAGTCCTATTGTATCTCCTCTTGATCCGAATGAATATCGTACACCGGATTGATCTGGATTTTCTTCAATTACTTGAGGATTTGATATCTCTTGAGTGTCTGCCTTTGATGGTCCTTCAGAATTTACCATGAGGCTTTGTTGGTTATTACCGGTAACACCCTGTGTTTGCACTGTTTCCTGAGTACCTGGATTCATGGTTTGGTCACTAGGGTTAAGAGGAGGGGAGGGTATATTCTGATTTAAAAGATTTTCTTCAATTGATTGGTCTAGGATATTATGATTGAGTTGATTTTCTGCTTCCACCAAAACGGTATCTACTTCCCCCAAAGTTACGGAGACGTTATGTATTAACTCTGAATTATGATCTATTAGTACGCCAGTTCTGATGAAGATGTTATCAGTACTGATATTCCCAATAGAACGTTCGGATGTCGGATTTTCTGGATTTGAGAATCGTATTGGTAAACTTACACGAGGGGTAGGACTTGGTGGTAATGTTGGATTATTTGATTCGTTATCTGAATTTGGGTCCGAATCGTTTTTCCCTATTCCGCTCATTAACTACTTAGCTACTTGACTGATACTTAACGAATTGTTATTTTTATATATAAAAGTGTGTGTGTTTACATGCAATTATACATAAATGCTAACTACAATATTAATATTATATTAATACTATACTACAGATTTACGATTCTGAATCATACAGAAAGAAATAATAATAATAAGATAAAAAAAACGTACTTATCAATTAGTACGGAGTGTAGTACTGATGATTTATCAAGATTTGGTTAGTTTTTTTTTTTTTTTTATTATCAATTTATTTTTTTTTTTACTCACAGTATCGCAGTTACAATGATCCTTGCCATGTTTTTTTTTATATTAATTACTGAATTTTTAACACTTCTACGGGATGCTCGGGATGGTCTGGATGCTCGGGATGCTCGGGATGGTCGGGATGCTCGGGATGGTCTGCACTGATGTTCTGCTTGGCTTGAATCGAATTCCTTGGCTGTTAACGACGACTTTCCTCTTCGACTGCGCTTGTGGAATCGAAGTTCGCTAGCCCCGAAACTGCTGGCGCGGGGACCACTACACCCTGTAGTGGGTTTCTATGATAATACTAATACAGTATAATTTTATTTCACGCGTGACGCGTCTATGAACACGGCGCACTCGTGTAGTATATTTATATAAATAATATATACTACTATAGCGACGGCTCGTGCGAAATATTGACGAAAACGGAGAACGCGCGTAATATTAGCGTATATGATAATACGATACATATATACGTAATACGACGGCGGCGGCGAACACTGCTTGATACCACTAGGCGGCAGTATTTGTTTACAAACACGACGTTACGGTGCCTATATTCCTCCGTATATATATTATATATAGTATAATATATATATGCGCGGCGGCGGCACAGACGTTCGGTTTCGTACACACGGCGAATGCGTGCGCGTGCGTAAGTGAGTGTCGTCCGGTTCGGCGGCACTATCGATACGGCGGCGCGTGTATTATGAATCGTTTGCGTGCGTGTGTGCGCTGCAATAAATTTACGTTCGGTTTCAGCGGTACCACGGACAACGGACGCGGCGGCGATGATGCTCGTATTTCGGATTCGCGTTCGTGTGCGTGCGTGCGCTACTAACCATTCGTTCGGGCGGCGCTACTGCGTGTTCCGTCCTTGTCTTGAACACTGGAGTTTCTGTATACTTCGATGTTTTGGATTTTCTGGACACTTCGGATTTTCTTCTTTGTATTTAATTATATTAAAAGCATAGATTTACTTTAACTCAAAATCACACGAAATTTACTAACTTATTGTTTAACGAACTGGAATCTACGGATCCCACCGCTGCCACCAAAAATGTTATGGACGTCTCCACAACCGAGTTTGTTCGTTAATAAAGAAATACGTGGTGTATGAGTTATCACTAATACTTTATTAATATAATCAATTTTAAAAGAAATTTAGTTGTACAGAATACTTATTAGACTTAAGTAATTAACAGAGGTTCTGCCCGATGGTCTGCCAGTTCTACACTCATTAGATTTAAGTAATTTAACAGAGGTTCTGCTCGATGGTCTGCCAGTTCTACACTCATTAGATTTAAGTAATTTAACAGAGGTTCTGCTCGATGGTCTGCCAGTTCTACACTGATTCTTACACAGACAGCGAGACACGGTAGGGGCTCGCTCGGGCTCAAAACTGTCCACACAGCGAATTCCTTTAGACCGTGTGACTCTGTCTGTTCACATATTAATATGCTTACACACTATTCTATATTATACTATTACTATATCTCATACTGCGTATAGCATACAGACAGGGGTTCACAACAATATATAATAGCTAGTTATCAATATTATTGTGTTGTATTCTAAAATTGACCGGTACCTACGTATAAAACTTAAATAAAATAAAATTTATCGATTGCTTTATTTAGAATTCTGATTTCAGTAGTGTGGTATCACGGATATTATCATCGGATAATACGCGGTAAACCAACTTTATACCTTACTCTCGTACGCTCTAGGCTAATGACTGTCTCTGGAATAAATTCAAATTAGCACTGTTAACCTTTGAGGTACGATGGTATGCGTTTTGTCAGTTCTTCGTCCGTTTCCTAAATTGGAATGACTATTAGGACACCACAACCAGAGCACTGTTCAGTTTGTAATAAACCTCATTGACTATAGGTGTGTGGGTCTGTGCACTGTTCCAATATTAAAGGTAAGAACGAAGAAGACTTTGAAATAATACTCAACTCGGGTTTTTAGGTCGGAAACACTTTTATTATATTAAAACAAACATACATGAAACACTTAGCAAATTCAGATCGCCTAGCCCGTACTACGATCCACGTTTCACACGCACAACCGTCGTACCTACGTCCTCGCCGAATCACTCAGCGACAACGGGACTCCTCTGTGCCTGCGCTTACCGCGGGGTTATACATATAGTAAAATATTATTGCTGCCTCAGCACATATTGCTTCACTGACCTTTGTCAATAGTTTAACATTTAAAATGTGCCCACCTCTATTAAATATATATTAAATAATAATACCTTGACGACTGTCTACAATATACGACAGTAGTAAAAATTGAAAAAAGATTTGACATTGGTAAACGTAACCCGAAATCAGTATGATTTTTCCACCAAAATCTCATAATAACAATTACACTTCAATATAATTGGATTTTAATAATATAATGATCGCAAAAACAAATCTAGTTGGTTTATATTAATTATATTATTACATACACATGACGCCTAAACAAATATTGTCACAAGGACCTAAAGCTACCGAAATACGAAGTACCGAAATTTCTCGGTTAATCCTCGAAAAGGAAAACACGGGATTTACTGGTCCTCGTCGATGTGCAATGCTCGTAATATACTTTTGGACCCTGCTGATTTGCATGAAAAAAACATTTTCCGACGTTTTCCGCCACTCAGGGCTCGCTTCACACGGACTACGTCGTAGAAAAATAATTTCCCCTTCGCGTAACTTAATATTTAGAAGTACCTACACATAAAGTATAGAAATAAACTTTATCAATTACTTTAGTATAATATTATCATTCATATCATGCACACATCGTCGTCATACAAATATCAGTAAATTTCATAGACTATATTCATTCGATCATCGGTCATAAACATTACCCCTGACTGTGATAGCTTTAAGACATAAACTTCAAAGGAACAAAAATGACGTAATATCATTATTGCAAGTCCGTGAAATTGGCCAACTGAACATATAAATATGAAAATTATGCCAATATTTTGCGAGTAATTAGAGAGAATTTGCTAGTATCTTTAACACGATCTACTGGAGAGTATCTGAGCAGCTTTGGAAGACTCACAAATTCCGAGACCAATCTCTCAAATGCTCGCAAATTCTGGGACCAAGATCGCAAATTCTCGCAAATCAAAGCCAATAGCTTTTGACACCGATCTCGACGAAATCGGGTGAAGTGGATGGGTTAAATGAATTTAGCTCTCAAGTAGATTATGTAAAAATATACTCACAAATCTCAGGAGTATACTCGCAAATTCTCGCAAATTACTTTCAAAATATTGGCGTAATTTTCATATCGATATGTTCAGGTCAGTGGGCCACGGATGTCTTTATTGTGACAAAACTTGTAAGACATAAACGCCAATCCAATATTATATATCACTTGAGCCAAAATTAATATTTTATATAAGTGGTTATTTAAAAATGTCAATCATATAAACATTTTTCGATAAATATAATAGAAATTAATGAATTACAATTTTAATAAACAGGTTGATTTTTTCGATCTCATAAAAAATTGTCAATAATAAATTGTTAAAATATTATATTTAGTTCTAAATTTAATATCTATTAACAGTGGCACACAGCATTTTTTTTTCTTCTCTAATTTTGGCGATTGTCTTTCACCGATTACGATGATAAGTCCTTTGTATTGGTAGTTATATGCTTCTAATAATTATTATTGCAAAGTACAAGATAGTTACTTACAACGTTTTTGATTAAGTTGTATAAGTACCTTATGATTAAATACATTATAATACACTTAACCAACTATTATTAAAGATAGGAATTTGAGAAATATATAACTTTTAAGCTGGTTGTAAAATGTTAATCACTCACACTCTATCCAACATATTTTATTAAACACAGCTTTTAAAAATTGAATAAATCAATAATAATAATACAAAAGGTATGGTAAATTACATAATATTAGGTTTATAATAATTAATTGGTCGCCTCGTAATTTAAATAATTTTTTTTTGGTATTAAAATCTGAAATGAAATGACTTACGGGTATTAAATTTTCAAATTTTTTCATTCAGCAAATAAAATTATTTCAACACAATGATTGAAAATTAAAAATCGAAAAGAGGTTTTAGAGATGCAATTTATAATTTTTTTCATTGGTTTTTACTTTTTACTGAAGTCTGCAATTTTGATGTCCTGCCAACGATGTCCAAATTCCTATTGTGGACATTCGAAAATATTAATTTGCAGTGGAGTATTCAGAGGTATTGTTTTAGGGTTCTGACCACCTTCATAAATGCCTTCCTTTTAAAAAAAATCTTATTTACTACCGTTTCAATACATAGAGTCGATCAATTATTGGTAATTTGTAATAGATATAAAATAAATTGTTAAATATGACCAAGACTTCGGTAATCATAGTTTATTTTTTTTATTCTTTTTGGTGATTTAGAACATTGCTAAACGTCTACCACAATTGTCGGGTGGTGTATCATCTTGTGTCGTCGTCCATCTATTATTACCACGTTTGTTACGACCCGAAGTGGCTCTATAGATGAACAGGTGTCCAGGTTGAACACTCGAGTGTTGTAAATATAGATTAATTTCGAGACTAAGAAGAGTAAAATCAACAAAATATTTGGGTGTAATATTTGATGGCCAATTAAAATGGAAAAAACCATATTGAATCAATAAAATCACGTTTCAGAAAATGCTTTTACATATTTTAGAAATTACGAAGTATATACTTGATATCAGTAATATTGAAATTATTTATTTTGCCATAATACAGTCAATATTGACATATGGAATTTTAACATGGGAATCTGAGTATAAAAACTCTCTTGAGCCTCGCTAAATGGAGTCCATAGAACACTAGTACGAATAATATTAAAACAAGATTATATTGAGGGTAATTGTACTAACGATATGTTAAAAAAACTTAGGATATTAAATATAGAACAGTTATATAATAAACTATCAACAACGAAAATCAATTGGTACCGCACAATAAAAATAATAATAGCACTATTGTTACCCGGAATATGAATAACATTAATCTAATATAATTTAAATCTAACACGACTATGATACAAATGTTGTATATATACAGGGGAATAAAACTGGAATTACCAAATAATATCAAAATAATAAATAATAACCTTAAATTGAAGATGGAAATTTAAAAATGGTATGCACATCTATTTCATTAGTAGTCTTATATCTAAATGTTTTTAGTCAGTTACATAGTTTTCATGTCTAAATCATTGTTCTATTAATGTAACTTTTAACAAAAAAAAAATTATATATTTTTTATGTATTTATCATTATCATGTTATTAACTTCAACTTATTAATATTATTTAAGATTCCCTAATCTGGCGAGATTATTGTGGTGACAAGCACTGCTTACAGAGATTAGGTATCAACATTGTACAAATATACTATTTAAGTTCTTATATTGTAATATTATATTAAAGTATGTTTGTTTGAAATAAATAAAATAAAAAAAAATTAAAGGATGGGAGGTCATTCTTAAATTTTGAGAGGTAACTAGTATATGCACCACTCTGTATATAGTAGATATGTTTTAAGAATATACATATTTTGAATGCTTATATGGTTTTCTAAACATTAAAATGTTATTACACTTACACTGTATCCAACATATTTTATTCAGCAAAGCTTTGAAAAAAAAATATCATAAATTCATAATAATAATACAAAAATTACATACCTAATATTATTAGCAATCAGCATTTTAAGTAATCGGAAGGTTCTCAATTTAAATATTTTTTTTGTTAAAATCTGTGTATTTATTATCACATTCATAATATTATTAGCTTACCTTTGGTTGTTAAATTCAAAAGATTTTCTTCTACCTACGGTGAGGTACTTATAAGGTATGAGGTATAATATCATAAAAAGTAGAAAACAAGTTATGGGTTTCCAAAACCGAAACACGCACATATTTCACAACTTTTATTACCTACGTCTTATCGTCTGAGGTTGAAACACTCTTTTCGAAATTACTCTTCCTTTTAAAAGTTTGTATAACCTTTGAAATACTTGGGTATGACATCGATCCTTGTTTTAATAATATAATATAATATAATATAATATATATAATATTTTATAATATTAATATAATAAAATTGTTTTTTTTTAAATTTATTATTTCCATATTATTTGTTGTCTTTGATTTCTTAACTTCAAACTCCGTTTTTACACTCATTATAATAATTTGACCTTTCAGACTCTGCACACGATCTACTTGAAACAACAGACGACTCGGTAAATATCTTTACGACGGAATAATAATATATAAACGTTTTAATCAATCCCCGTTCCAAAAAAAGTTTACAGTCTTAGAGCAGGGCTTGAAACCGTTACTAAATAAATCGAAAACATTTTGGATACCGGTTACCGGTTTTATACAGGTCCTGTTTTTAGCGGTAACTAATTACCTATATTATATATTCAAAACTACAGGTTACCGATGAAGTGATAACCGATTCCAAAAAAATTCTGTTACTGGTAACCCATAGAATACCGGTTTTCTAAAAAAAACATTTACTACGCCTTTGTTCCCACTCACTGTCATAGACAGGCAACGATTTACAGTATTGTCTATAAGTCGTCTGTTGAGAGTTGAGTAGTGTGCCTTTTATAGTATTATGATAGATATTATAGTCCATAGCAGTGGCGTATTTAGAGGGTTGGCATAGTGGGATCCAGCCCCCCCCCCCCCCCCCCCCCGAAATTACAGTATTTTTCAATAGAACGACAATATCTTTTATTAGATACTATTACAAGTTATAATATTTCATAGTTTGTTGAAGAATAACAATAGAAATATATTTAAAGAATATATTTATAGAAACTGTTCAATATATAGTAGACAATGTCTAGACAGTAGCCTCAGAGTAATAGATCACTTGCTAGTTTCTATCTACCATGGCCCGCCCCAAAAAATACTTTTATATACGCCACTGGTTCATAGATAACGGTAATCAGTACTCAGTATTTATAAACACCGGTAATCGGTTCTTAACCGGTTAAAACATAATATTATTACGTTATTATAATACGTTTTGTGTTGGCTGAAAATTTGTCACGGTTACCGGTAACCGATAACCGGCAATACAAATAGGTCTATGATAACGGTAACCGATTATAGGCTCCACAAAATTCAGATAAATTGCCGGTATTCGGTAAAAACCTAACCTAACCTAACCTAACCAAACCTAACCGTCTGCTTAGAGACGATATTTTCTAATTAAAAAAAAAAACGTTAAACAAAAAACCGAGATACATTTACCGCTGTGGGAATAGTGAATTATAGAACAAATTGTTTAAGTCCAGCCGGCTTATAATACACATTACGCATGTTAGTTCCCACCCAATTGATAAAAATGGTATTATATGGTATCCGAGTGAAAACTTCGGTGTAATAGGATTTGGCCCGCAAGAGAATAATTGACTCTATTAAGTTGATATATTTTACAAAGTTTTATTTTGAAAATTGCAACACGCGACATTTTCGTTCCGCGAAAATATTATATATTAGCTCCTTTGAAGTAGTTTTACGATATTATTTTCCTTTTAAACAAAATAAATGTATATTTGACGAGATTTAATAAATTCGTTAAAATGTCATGACGTCGACGTTAAATGTCGTAGGTACCTGTATAATACTATTTATATATATATCGATTTTAGTTTTTCCTTACTTGTTTTATGGTACTGCGCTGCAACGCTATTACCGCACTGACTTTTTATTTTATTATTTCGTTTCCAATATATTATTATTTTATTGACTAAAACAAAGTAGGTATATTACACATAACGTATTTTTCAACTATGCTCTATAATATAGAGGTCTGGTGTCCGAACAGTTACGATGCTATCTAAGAAGCGTAAATATGAAGAGGCTCATCGAGCTTTTAATACAGACTGGGAGGAAGAATTCGCTTTTATAGAAAGAAACGGTAAGCCAACGTGTCTTTTATGTCAAGTAACTTTGTCACAGTTCAAGGCCAGTAATCTAAAACGCCATCATGACAGAAACCGCAGTAGTTTTAATAAAGATTTTCCTTTTGGCTCCAAGTCAGGGAAAACCAAACTTAAATCACTAAAAGAAAAACCTGTGACTGTTTCATCACCAATAACAAATAGTACAGCAGTTGGAGAGTTGCAGCTACTAGAACTGCAAGAGGATGAAGGACTAAAAGGACTCAAACGAGTGGGGTTTCTACCATAGAATTTTGGAAAAATGTTCCAGAAGAAAAATATCCATTAATAACAAAAGAGTGTGCTATAAGACTTATTTCAATTTTTGACACTACTTATGTATGTGAATCGTTGTACTCTACTCAAAAATTCATTAAATCCAAACATCGATCTGAACTAAATGATGATCATCTAAGTGAACTTGTGCGATCTGCACTTACAAATTATCAGCCTGATTTCAAAAAACTTGCAGACAAAATGTACACTTGGAAAAGCACTTATCATAAGTAAAACAACTATAAAATTAATTATAATGTCAATATTCAATAATGATAATGTTTTTTGTAGTTTATAAAATAAATATTCCTTCATTTGATTTAAAATGAAAAATGTATCTTCATTTTATAAACATTGATTTACAATGTGGCTCACCTCGAATTAACTTTATATATTTGCGGCTCCCAAAGTTAAGGTTAGTGGCCACCCCTGCTCTATATCGTTTTAATTCGTTCGGAAATTATCATTATAATGCGATTTATCTTGTTCGTTTTATTAGTTGGAAATTATAAAACAATTCGCGTGATCACGTGTTACTATTTTTAACTGACGCAGCGCATGGCGATACATGGTAAAATCAGACTAAATGCTTAAAGCCCTATACTCTAAAATGATCCATGTTACATGTGCTGCTCATGGCTTACATAGAGTGGCAGAAGAAGTAAGAGGTCAATTTAAATCAGTTGATAAGGTTATAGCCAGCGTTAAAAAAACTTTTAGAAAAGCACCGAGTCGCGTTCAACTTTTCAAATCCAAAGCCCCTGAAATAAGTCTACCACCAGAGCCTGTAATTACCCGTTGGGGTACCTGGATCAATGCAGCAAATTATTACTGCGATAATTTAAGCACAATTCGTTCTATTTTTGAATTACTTGACAATGACGATGCAGTCATCAAAGATGCGAAAAAATATATCAATAGAAATGGAATAGACGTAGATTTTATTTTCATCAAATCAAATTTTTTGTCTCTTACTACATCTTTAAAAAAATTACAAACACAGGGGTTGTTATTATCTGACTATATTGAAATAATTAACGATGTAGAAAAATCATTTGAAACTCTACGAGGTCCAATTGGAATTAAAATACAGTCAAAATTAAAACAAGTGTTAGAAAAAAACACTGGTCTATCACTTTTGAAAAAAATGTGTTGCATTTTTTTGGGTATAAGAGACATCGAAGAATTAGAAGGTTTTCCAGATGATTTTTCCAGTAGTAATGTTCCATACTTCAAGTTCGCCACCATCACATCAGTCGATGTAGAACGTTCATTCTCAACGTACAAAACATTTCTGACCAATAATAGAAAATCGTTCAAATTTGAAAATATTCACAAACACGTAATAATACAGTGCAATCTTTAAGGTATAAACTAAAATTTATAATTTATAAATAATTATTAATTATAATTTATAATATTTATTTACTTACTGATTCATTGAATTTTACCAAAAATGTTTACAGAATGAAGAAATCATACATGTACAATGGACCACAAAAAGAAGAATAATACTCGGGAATATTTTTTTAAAATTAGATTATGTCACTAATTATTAATTAAATAAGTACCTATAAATAAATATTTTTAGAATTAGAATCATTCAAAATAAATTTTTTTAAATTTTTTTATTGAGCATATTACAGTGCATATTTTATCATTTTTTAAGGCATATTATAGCGCATATTTCATGGTTTTTTAGTGCTAGAAGTCTCGAGCCCTGGTTATGACTAGTGAGAAATTGAAAAGAGCCGAGTTATTTTTGAAATTGAATGTACACATAAATGTGTGGTTTTATGTGTTTAACACGATACAAGTATCAGAAATTCAACATAACGTTTAGTTTTTTAAATATTAAAAATCTCAAAAGAGATAATAATATAATATTTGAATTTTTATTTTATATTTAAATGGCCATGAAGCGCCGTTTAACAAAGAATATCACTTTAAAGATTTATTATTAATATTTGAAAAACTAAACGTTATAATATTGAATTTCTGATAAGTACTTTTATCGTCTTGAACACATAACAAATCACCAAGACCAGATAGGTAAACTAAATTTCAAAAATAAAATGTTTAGATTGGTAAATCGTCGTGTGAATAAGATATTATGCGCAATTATTACGATGAGCAAGGCCCAATGACGTTACTCGGCTATTCTACATTTCTTAATATCTCTTAAAGCGTTGAAGTCACCAATTTTTTTTACATGGGAATTTCACCAAATCATTTAGCCAAATTATATAGCCAAAGCTACACAATAATTTAACATTCAAAAAAATGTAATTTTTACAAAATATGTTTTCAGTGTGTCGTTGTTTTCGTTTGCAAATCTATTATAATATATTAAATAAATAAATAAATTGTACGCATAACTATATTATTATCGCTGCTGTAAAATTAAATGTTAACGATAATCACGCATAACGTCCATTGTATATATTTTATATTCTAATAAATAAACTTATACAAACTGAAAATGTATATGAAAATTATTAACTTGATCGAATATATTATATATATATTTTAATCGTACTTTTCACGAGCATAACATTGTTGGGTTAATATAATAGGTTAAATCCAATTAGAATATTGATTTTATTTTATTAATTTTTGCTACCTATTATTATATTATAACATATGGCTTTTGAATCTAATTCTAAATTATTATGTAATGTAATGGATTATAATAATAGCCAACCGTTTTATAAAATAATAATTTTATGCATAATTTTTTTTAACAAAGTAAACGTTGATAAATAAATAAATTATTTATTTATTTATAATTATTATGCTCGTTGAAAAAAACTTGAAAATTGAATACAAGATTTTTTTATAAATAGTACTTATACAGTAATTTTAAATTATACGAAATAAAAAAATGAATAAGTGTTTGAATTTTCGTTATTTTTGACAATATTATTCGTCAAAATAACGAAAAAGTACAAATTATTTATTACCTACCTACTTTATTTATTTTTTTTTTTTTTAATAGCTATTAGTGACAAAACTATTATAGCTCAGCAATTATAGTAATATACTTTACAATAGTATTATATCTTATGATGTACACGACAGTATTTTGATAATATAATATTTAACAGTTTATAAGAGATGCTTACCAGAGAAATAAGGTATAGGTATAACGTAGTTTTATGCGTAATATTAATGATAATTTCAAGTATTCAGAACATGGCAGAAGAACCAAATAATTATACTTTATAAGACACTTGTGACTTGTGAGTTTTAAAATTGAATTCTAGCTGAGTACAGATAAAAATAAAAATAACTAACAACTACTATAGTTTGAACAATACTAATATAATACCTAACTATTAGTTGAAAGTATAATATTTTAACCATTATAACTTTAAGCGAAAAATTAAATACTTATTAATATTTTAAAAGATATAAACACACAAAAAATTATTTTATTATTAATAATACATTTTGTTAGTTTTATATTGTCTGAAGACCTATAAATATATTTTAAAACTAATTATTTGCAATTTCTTATTATAAGTTTAAACCAAAAAGTATGTACCTATTTACTATTATTTCTCTTATAATTCTGTTGTGTCGTTTTTAAGAGATAACATAAATAACCATGCGTTTAATATTTATTCATTAACTACTATATTTATTTAAATTTTCCTATATTTTAATTAGATATTACAAAATGTATTTAGCGTGGTTCAAATTTGGTCTTATATTTCTCTAATTTATTAGTTATATTGATGCAAATTAAGGTGTTTTTCTCTTAGGTTTTATAAAATACTATTTTAAACTATCAGTCGACCTGACTGATAATAATATTATATTATAGATCTTTGTTTTTTTTTTTTTTTTTTTATTGATCTAAAAGTTAACATCGACGACAAAGGCCATTAGTTACCAGCAAGGTTTTTATACAATAATACCAGTAGTAACAATAATGATTAATAATTTTTTTAAACAAGACCGAAAAGTTTTGTTTGTTTCAGAAATTTGATTATATCCTGGTTGTTTTCTTGGTTGGGTCCGAGTGCAGAATCGAGGTTGTGAGATATGTTGTTCGCGGCCCGTTCTTGGTTGAACTTTAGACAGTACTCTTTGTTTTTAAATTATATTTATCAATATCTTTTTTAATGGTTCGTTATTGTTTTTACAGTACCTACGTAAGTTCATATTTTGTGTAGTAAAAATAATAAAGACATCAAATTTCTCTTGTGCAAAGGAAAATAGTACTTACCCTAAACATATACATATTTTGAAATTTTAAAACTTTGTGAAAACCCTATGGTGAGTAACTACACAAATAAACTAAATAAATTATTAAATCTTTCGCGTTTTCGAAGAAATAATTACAAAATAGTTTTTATATTAACAAGTGTTTATTTAGTGATAAATGACAAATAACATAATATTTTACATTTAACAATTATTTTTATACAACAATAGAAATTTTATTTATAATACATAGACATCAGGTACATAGATAGAATTTAAATATCTTACATTTAATTGTTTTGTTTTTTTTTTTTTATTAAACAGAGTTGTAAGGTAAACTTTTATAACATATTTGGGTACAAAAAAGTAATACTATTGATTTATTATTATATTATTTACTATTATTATAGTATAATTGCAATAATATAACAATAAATCAATAGTACTACTTTTTTGTACCCAAATATGTTATAAAAGTTTACCTTACAACCCTGTTTAATAATAAAAAAAAAAAACAATTAAATGTAAAATATTTAATTTTCTCCCGACATACAAGGTGAAGTGACTTTTTGACTTACAAAAAAATATATAGGTATTTGTGGCTTTTTAATGGCTTTTGTCACTTATCGTTCAAAAGCTATCTTTAGATAAGCGATAAGCCATTCCATTCGTCTATAAATAATACAATTTATTAGTCACTCAAGGATGCAACACCTCGGTTTTTTATTACTAGAAAATTACAGTTCTGATAATGTACAACCA